TAGGGAAATGGGTCGGAAGTTTGCGGGGTCTGAAGGGTTACCGGACTTGAACAGAGGGTGAACTATGGAATGTTTCCATGAATCGGGGATGTCAGATTGGATTAAGCAGGTATTGATAATATGCAAGATGACACCACCAAAAGCGGGGAATCCGAATTTCAGCATGCGGACACAGACGTTGTCGGAGCCGCAGGCACTCGAGTTACGCATGCTGAAAATAATCCGCTCGAGCTCCCCCAGTGTTATCTCACGAAGTTGAAAACTGCATGCGCCGACACGGGTGAGACGCGCATCCAAATCGGTGGGAGTGTTTTGGGCTCGGATCTCGTCAGCGACACGAGGACCGACAGATACAAAAAATGAATTTAAATCATCGGCAGATAGATCGGGCTGGACGTCTGGGCCGTCCTTCTTCGCGGCTACCACTGACCTGATGCATTGCCAAACTTTGTTGGGGCCCCGCTCCCCAATTTCCCTCCGTATCTCTATTCGCCTGTCTCGACGCACTGCCGCCCGGACTGAGCGGTTTAGGTCTCTTTATTCGCTCGAGTTGCGGCCTAGATGGCGAAGCGCAGCGCGACGTTGAGACATGAGGTTACGGGTGGCGGCGGAGACGGGAGGAGCGGTCGGGTTACGGATAGACACACGCCTGATTGGGGCATGGACATCAAAAACAGGTACGAAGAACGACAAGAAAGCATGCCACTTGTCACTGACGGTTTCGGCAGAGAAAACATAATCCCAGTCGACATCGAGTAAGTCGTGATACAGTGCAGGGTGATCTAGGCGCTTAAAAGAGCGAGATGAGATAACGGCGGGCTTTTGACGCACTTTCGGCACATTGACAATGACTCTGAGGCTGCCCTGCTCGCCGACTTCACGGACCTCGAGGCCCAGCTGCAGCGGGTCCTCATCGATTACCCCAGAGTTCCGTTCGTTCTCTGCGGGGACCTCAACTGTGACCTATTGAAGGGGCCGAGTTTCCGCGCGTCTCAACATCTGATCAGCTTCTTATCGAATTACTCTTTAGATCAATTATAGTCTGTTTTTCGTATCTTCTACCTTCACTCAAAGATGTTTTGCCCCTCCAGCACGTTTTTAGGGTATAGTTTTCAAATATTGACCACATGGCCCACCACTCATTGCAGGAGTTTGTTGCTCGTGTTGGAGTTCGCCTTCGCTGCGCAGATAAAATCGGAAAAGAAACCTTTAAGCTAGAGCATCGCTTGTATTATCGTTACCACGGTTAATTGGTACTGCATACCGACCTATACACAAGGACGTTTTGCTGTTCATAGGTACTTGCATTGTGCGAAGCGCTCTTGCTAAGAACATTTAAAGAATAGTTTAAAGCTTGCACTTCCTTTTCATTGGGCAAAAGAAACGAAATGTGTTATTATGTTCTGCCATATTTTTTTAAAATGCTTAATTTATGTTTTGCTTTATTTACGTTGCGATAACTTTTACACTGACGAATAACAAAATTGTCTTAGCCCACGCCCGCTTGGGGGTCCCCAGGCAGATTTGCTTCATCTTATAGTTTTCCTATCTGCCTCACGCGATCATCCCGAAAAGTAAGAAAGATGCGAAGACGCGGGCAAGAATCGATGGCTCTCAACAATTACATACTTTCAGCAGTATACGTATATAGTATAATCCGCACTTTGATGAGATCAATAGTGAAGGCCACTGAAGGTCATAAATTTAAAAAACTCCCGAGCTCAACAAGTTTGGACAAATCTGACCAAACCTTGTCAACCGATTGAACTATGGGGGGGGGGGGGGCGCCAGGACTACAGTGGTCATCGGCGCCGATTGAAAAAACTACAGCGCCGTCGAAACATCTTTAGTTCTAGCAGCTACTAGGTATTGTCGAAAGCTGCTGGTGATCTTTATCATCTGACATGACTTTTTGACCGCTGGCAATCACCAACGCCTTAGGGCTTATATTATGATACACAAATGCAGGTAATAACAACAATAACACCCACGTATGCATTTTTCGTATTATATTCCGCTGAAAGCATGACGGAGTTTAACTGTGCCACCACCGTCGGGGCTTCAACACTTTTCTTTCTGGTATCCAAGGAAGTAAGTTCGTTATTCTGGCGTCATTCGTTGGTTGTGCTCCTTCTTCACCGCCTTATTTCAGTCACCTAACCCACATTTCTTTTGCTTAGAAACGTTGAAGGAAAACGTTACGATCATTTTGTCTTGTCTGAGACCAAGGTCATTGCCCTTCTGTTGTTTGAAAACATAATGAAATTAGAAAGGGATAATTTTGCCAGAATGAAAATATGATGACACGTTTTTATGCAAATGCATTTCACTTGACAATGAACATTGCATTTTGATTAACGAGCTAGGCCAAGGGGACAGACGTTCGATCTTGCGCAGATCTTGCGTTCGAGATAAAAATTGACTTTGCAGCGGTGTTGATTTAATTAGATGTTCGCTGGAGCACGTGATTAGAGAGTTTACCGTCTTTGAGTGAAGGTAGAAGATACGAAAAACAGACTAGTAACAAATCCAACTTTTACCTCCGGCTCTCTATTGGATGTCTGTATTGTTAACAATCGCGAACTTGTGTGTGACACCAGCGTTAATTATTGTCACTTCAGTCCTGGCACGTGTATTCAACGACCAAGTGAGAGCAAAAGGAGACTTTTTTGTGAGTGGAATAATCATTACATGAATCAAGTTGCAATTGAATGAGCCACTACCATTGAACCACCATTACCACGATTAGGCTGACTTACTTTTTCCTTATTAGGCTGACTTATTTTTCCCCAAACTGCATGGTAAATGGTAACCCATCCACAAACCCGGCCCCTGACGCTCCCTTTCTCCCCTGCGGCGCTCACCGGCGTCTCCATCTCTCCAGCCGTGTGCTGCGCCTCCGCCTGCAGGTCGATGGCCGGCGAGTCCTCCACGATCCGCTGCACGGACATCTGGATGAACTCGTCGAACGAGTCCAGCTGCTGCCGCACCAGGCCCTTCTCGTCAAAGTAGGAGTTGATGACGATCCAGCAGGCCTCCTGCCAGAGCTCCGAAGAGATCTCCTCCTGGTCCTCATCCTCGTACATGTCTGAAACGAGTTGGCCATGACATCCAATCATCAGCGAATGAATAGAGAGCTGAGTGACTGCAACATGTGATGTTAAACAAACACTGGTAAGCAGTGGATCACCCATTTAAGACTTAAAATGGCAAATGTATCCACCTCAGATGATTCAGTGGGGCAAATATATTTGTGAGGTAATTTTTTTGGCTTATTCATGGAATGTTTTATAAAGTGATCACATATGATACTATAACTGAGTCTACAGCACTGCTGCCAATCACTTATCAATAATCAATATCCTTTGTTCCTGCTGCATATGTATCTGTGGTGTGTAAAGAATGTTTTCAGTATCAACAAAAATCTGCTGTTTAGAGCAAACTGAAACTTCAAGGCCACAAGAACTGATATGTTAAGGGCTAACTTTTCTTTTTTTTGTTAAGGAATAAGGGATAGGTATTGCATTACTCCAGTACTTATCAAGGATTATCTTGATCTGGCTAACATATAAGGCAAAGGACATCAGGAGAGCTCCTTCTTGTCATGGTAATGGTCATGATGATGTATAGTTAATTGTGTTTCTATGCTGTTTGATTCGCCCTGCCTGGCCCTGCATGGCCTCCCAGCAGACTTGTGAAAACCTGTGCAGACAAGGGACACAGTCACAATTGGGGATACAGCTTCATTATATTTTGCATTATTTGCCTTAGTGTCACAATATACCCAACTTTCCAATGCATGAGAGTTTAACGAATGAGAGTTTAACTGAAAATGAGAAGTGGTTTGCACTTGACGCCTTTCAGAATGCTGGTGTCTGATGGTGCTGGATAAGAAGGGGAAATACAGCAACTTCTTGTATTGTGAGTAGGAACCTAAGGGTGAATTAACTATTAAGTTCTTTCTGAGAGGCCTTGATGCTAATGCCAAGAGACCAATCATCACATGATTGAAGGCATCTGTAGGAGCACAGTCAGATTGTTGAATGCAGTTTTACTGGAACAGATTCCTAAATATTGAAGAAGGTACAAATAGATCAGTTCTCAAAGGCAGTTCATTGCAGCAGCTTTATCTCTGTTATTCATGTTCATTTTCCGATTGTTTTACTAGGTTGTCGATATGCAATAAACATTCTGGAATGGAATGGAATGGAAGCAGCTTCCCTCCATATGGTGAACCATAAGTAGACAATTAAGATCTCAGACTGCAAAGTAGGGCAGCAAAGTCAAAGAGGATTCAGATTAAGAGGTGACCATCCAGGGTTACATATCCACACCAGCACACACCATCCACACTGGGAACTTGTAGATAGCAGCTTGCATTGACTAGGTCCATAACATTTAGCACATTGTTTAGGCATCTTGATTTCCACATTCGATATGAAGAACAGCAACAGAAGTTCAATTATTTCCTGGAAGATAATATTGTATCTTTAATTTTCTTGGACAGCAATGCACCAGCAGATAAATTTTGCTCTGCTTTCATTCTTTGGGCCCATCACAGCTCCATGCAACATCCGCACCACAGATCAGTAAATCCAAATCCGCGCCAAAAGGTGCACCTGCAAAGTGCCTTCACATAATAAGAATATCATCAAGATAAACACATTTCATAGTATGGTTAAGATCCCTGAAATTCTTTTTTCCTTACCTTCTTCATCATACATCTTGTCTATTCTTTATTTCAAATTGAAGAGTTGAAGCTTACGCCGCCAGCCGGAAAACGACCAGGACAAATTAACAGCAGCTTCCAGTGCAATAGTAATGCACTAGGACTTTTATGAAGAGAATGTCTCAACCTTATGACAAATAAAATCAGCAAAGTTCTGTGTAAATTTCCGGTTATCTGCTGGCGCGCACATGCATTCACCCGTCGCGGACGACGCGACGCATCAACTGCAAACACTGCAAACAAATTCCGTCGCGCCACTTTTGATTTTAGCTGTCACAATTGTCACACTTGTAAAAGTGGCGGAGATAGTATTTTTCTGTTGTTGTATTTCACAAATGATTTCGAAAGCAAAATTACAAACATCTTGAAATGTTCTCATTTATGCATATCAATCCATTTTTTTTGTCCTTCGTGAATCTTTGTCTTTAATCATTTTTAAAATCCACATTATCGTCACATTCATCACTATCAAGAAAATAAACAGCCCGAAAATGGCGGACGAGGAGCAGGTTCGTTGCGCAGTCCACTGAAAATTTAGTTGTTGGGGTATTTGTTTTGTTCCAAATTCGACAGTGCTTGAATATCTTTCTTTTCACATACATTTCTTTCATTGTTCAACGACATTTTGTGCATAATTTATGATGATGATGCAGATGAGTCTTCGGGGGAATAGCCTTTGCATCGGCTCCCCCATAGGTGCCCTATTTGGTTATAGGGGTACTGGGAAAAGGATGAGGATGGAGGCTGCATGTCTTTCTACGTTTGCTCATGGTCCTTCAATTATTACATCGGCTTCATACAGCGCGATTTTGCTGCGTCGTAATTGTCCCAATGTGAAACTAGTACGATTTTCACGTGTTTTGTTTTTATTTTACAGCAAGTACGTCAGCTGGAGGTACTTTGCACGCATCTATACGAAGCCACAGATGCCGTTCAAAGAGCAGAGGCAGAAAAGACCCTAGTTCAGTTTCAAAATGCTCCAGACACCCTCAATAAATGTCAGCTTCTCCTGCAGAGGGGAGATTCTCCGTATTCCCAGCTTCTGGCAGCAACCACCCTGACTAAACTGGTGACAAGAAATTCACAGTCTATATCCATGCACCAGCGAGTTGATATGAGTGAGTACCAACTTGAAGTTTATTGTATAATGTCTATTGTTGTAACATGTTTTTTGTTGTAATATTATAAATATTTAGACACTAAGCATTTCACAATGATATTGTAGGTATTGCTTGTGTCCCTGAGAACCACTTAACTTCATGCAAAACAAACATATAATCTGCAAGATGTAAATGCTCAGTGTGTATACTTTATTTTACAGTAATGGCTAAGAAGGCCAATGCCAATGCTACTTAACCTGCTATCACAACATCTTTTACGAGTTCTATGTATCCAGATCAAAACTGATAGAAGTGTTGTTTCTGGTTAGGTTGGTAATGTAATAGTTAATAAATGAATGTTTGTATTTGCTCAGAAGTGTAACTAATCATAAGTTTTCTAGCAACCCATATCAGTGCTTATATCCTAAAGCTGGTATTGAAGAATCAACCTTCCTAGTAATTGAGCAGATATGTGATGATAAACTTCATTTCCTCCTCAAAATCTAAAAACTTTTTTTCTTTTTTTCTTTTTTTTCTTTTGTGTATTGTGAATGTAAACCTTCACCTTACACATTCACATTACACAAGAGGATAATAAAAAGTATCATATAAGCTTAAGGTTGTATCATCCTTACTTTCCTAAGCTTGTATGTGCCAATGTACCATAAGTACTATTTCCCCACTTCTTTTTCCTTGTGTAACTCAGCAAAGTTTGTTTATCTGTATTTTAATTTGAAAGTCTTCATGCAATATGTTGTGATTATTTTATGTGGTGTTGCATTAAATGTTGCATTTAAGTAACGTAACTGAAACTCAGCTGGACATATTTTAACTAAAATTTACTTGAAGTCAACTGTTATGCATGTTTCACTGTCATTTTACAAAGTACAATATCCAGTCATGGTACCAAACTTACCAGTTTCAAACTGCAACAGTTTGCATAAGCTGAGTAATCTTAGTGATATTTGGTAAGAGTCTGAAAGGAATTATAAATATTTTAGCTCATCTAGCTGTTTACTTTTTACTTGGCTGTAAAATACAAGGTAAAAATGAAAGTTGATTGTAAAGGATTGGTTTGCTGAAGTGTTTGGTGGCATTGTAACTGACAAAAGTACCAATAAAGCAAAGGTTTTATTGCCATCAATGCTTTTTTGTTGCATTCATGAAGTTTATTTTTGAAGCAAAGTGAAATTGGTATTCTTACAATGCATACATGACCCCAGCAATGTCAGTTCAGCTTAGAAACTAAAGGAATGGAGGCCAGAAGGAGGTGTTTGGATTCCCCCATGAACTTTTCTGTAAACATCTTAACCCTCGCGCTTATGGGGGGAAGGGGTTCGAATGGACCCCCTCGGTTCTTCGCGAATAACTCGCGCTAAAAGCGGCCGATCGCGACGAAACATTCGGTAGGTACTCTCGAGTTGATCAATTTTACGCATACCCTGAAAAAGCTCATGATCCTGACCCAAATATAGTCACCGTGACCCAAATGACCTTTGACCTGTGACATTTCTCGGCACCATGTTTGGCCGGAATCGCGATTCGGCATATGCCGGCTCATATTATCCGCGCGTTTGCAGTCTTTTTTTCGGTTGTAAACGTTTAAATATGTGAAATGATGTTGGTCCCATGCATTATGGTGGGTGTCAAGGTCACGTTAACCCTCGCCGGCATAGGCTATTTTGCGTCCCTTGACGGCACAAGGGGGGGGGGGGGACGACCCCCCTCGCGTTTGACCCCTGATCAAGCTAGAGCTTCGTGGAAAAAATGGGCGTGCTGCCCGTCAATAGACAAAGCCGATGATACTCAATTTTAAGGTCCTAGGTCATCGGTTGACCTTCCAGGTCATGTCAATGACCCAAAAGTCGGGAAAATCGGGAACTTCTAGAAAGTCGTAAAGTGTGGCTGCTATGGGGTTTTTCGGTGTGCTGATCACGAATATCGTGTAAGTTCTGATCACAGATGATGTCTTGAAGCATTTAGACAAGGTTGGGTCAGGTCAGGTCAGGTCAACTAGTAGGGGTCGTGACGGGTATTCGTAGTACGTGTCAACCGCCTCTGACAGCTTCGTAATATGTTACGAAGGCACCAAAACTACTTCGTAAATGCTCAAATGGTGGCTAAATTCGAATTCAGCTAAAAAACTAGCCTAGAAACATGTAAAACTCGAAAAAGTGACCCGAGGTCACCAAAGGTCAATGACCTGACGTGACCTTCAGGTGACCTTGACATCCACCCTTATGCATGGGAGCAACATCAAATCACATGTTTGAACGTTTGAAACCACGAAAAGCTTGCAAACGCGCGGCTAATGCGAGCCGACCTACGCCGAATCACGATTCCGGTCAAACACGGTCTCTGAAAGTAGGTCACAGGTCAAAGGTCATTTGAGTCAGGGTCATGAAATTTTCAGGGTACGTGTAAAATTGATCAATGCGGGGGTACTGAAAGTTTCGTTGCGATCGGCCGCTTTTTACGCGAGTTATTCGCGAAAAACATTACGGGGGGTTTGCATCAACCCTCCCTTGTGCCGGCGATGGCTAAGGTCACTGGTCAGGTCAGTTGATTGATTTTTATCAATGAACTGGGTTCACTTTTTCAAGTTTTACATGTTTCTAGGCTAGTTTTTTTTTTTAGCTAATTTCGAATTTAGTAACCTTTCGAACATTTACGAAGTAGTTTTGTGTAACATGTTACGAAGCTGTCAGTGGTGGTTGACACCTTCAATGAATACCCAGCAGGATGCGTACTGGTTGACCTGACCTGACCTGACCTGACATGTCATCGGCTTCCTTTTGTGGTAAAAGCCAGGCAGCAAATGTACATGCAAGTGGTCTTTATTACGGAGCGAGCGAAGCGAGCGGAGTCTTTCCCATATAGCGAAAAAAATCTCAGTATGAGTGGTCCGACCCGGCCTGTAACGTTTTTGAGAGGCTCATAACTCAGCAACCGCTGGGCCGATTTACTTGCGGTAATTTTTGTAGGGTAGCTTGATTCCTTCTACCAAGTATTGGACTATTTTCGCTGCATGTGGGTGACCCCTTATGCACGTGCCACGTGCAAAACGAAGAGGTGTCAGTTTTGTAGCAATTGCAATATTTCAGTAGTTACTGGGCCGATTGCGCTGAAACTTTGCATGTAGGCAGGCACCCACTAGGCAATGCATTTCCATGTCCCACAGTTGGGGTGCTGCTGCACGTGCGCACGTGCACGGGTCGATTCTAGATCTCAAGAATGGCTGGATCGATTGCTCTCAAATTTGGTAACCGGTTAGGGACCGGATAGTAGGGTACCGTTCAAAAGTAAGTTGGGACCCAACTTGCACGTGCGCACGTGCAGAGTGCCGCTCCCAGATCTCGAGAACGGCTGGGCCGATTCCGCTCAAATTTGGTACATTGCTAGAGACCGGTTAGTAGGGTGCCGTGCAAAAGTCAGTCGGGGGTACCCCTCACAATGTCGCACGTGCAAGGCCCACCCTCTCGCTCGCTCCGTTTTGTCGTCCTATAAGGCGTTTTACTGGTTGGTAAAATTAGGAATGAAAAATTGCTCTGAGGCCAGTTTCACCAATAAAAAACAGACGGCTGCGATTATTTTTTAACAAAACGATAGTCTCAAAATGTCATTTACTGCTAAAAATACTTATCGCTGACTTGAAAAATGTAATAACATAGCTTTCAAGTGCTATATTATTTGGTCAGCAATTACTTTTTCCACCGGTAAATAGGATTTATAGACTATCGTTTTGTCAAAAAATAATCGCAGCCGTCTGTTTTTTATTGGTGAAACTGGCCTCTGGAATATTACTTTTCGCAAGATTTCGAAGATGAATTAAAATATGAATTACCTTTTCTTGGAACAGAAGTGTATCAGTGAAGCCATAATACATCATAATGCATCCGCAAAAACAAACTTAGTCATTCTACTCGACTTTGAAATCAAATTGCCATCTTTCAGATTTGTTTGCATTTTTTCTTCAAAATTGCTAAATGCTAGCCCGCGCTTGGGTGTTGGTCCAACTATAGCTCATCAGGGTGGGGAAGGAGCAGCTTCTTGCTACGGCTCCTGAGTCCTGGGACGAGGGAGAAAAAGCAATTTTCCAGAAGTTGCAAAAAAAAGCATTTGAAGAGAACTTTTTTTGATTATTTAGGTCAGGTCACTAGAGGTTTTCAAAGGTCGAATTTACACGATTTTGACGTTTGTGGGCTACCTACATGTACAGCCCTCTGCAAACTGCGTGGTAGGTATTCTTTTTTTTCGACAAAAACGAGAATAAGGCGAATACTATGCTATCGGTCATTCGCAAATCGTAACAGGAAGACACGCGAGACCCCGCACCTTATATTGGCATCATCACCGTATTCATCTTCCTTCTAGTTCGGCAACAGAATCCAAAAGTTTATATTTGCCCCTAAAACAATTTTTGCATTTTGTTGCCACACAAGGCGTATATACTTTGTTAAGTGATACACCTAAACGAAGGAGTGGAGCATGGCGCATCTATTTGCAGTGAGTTCTGACCGACTGATAGCATAGCCTCTGAGTTATTATCGGTTTTGTCGAAAAAAGAATACCTACCACGCAGTCTGCTGAGGGCTGTACTTAGATTTGATCCTGGTCGACTCCCAACGGCTTGGTCTTGGACAAAGCCGTCGAAATGCAACTACTTATATAGCATGCAACTTTGTAGCTTGTATAAGAAGGTAAATAGCATGTAAAATGATACGCTTAGCATTTGCTGTGTCATAAGACTTCCACCTCTCCTGATGATGCGCCCTCGCTGTGAACTCGCCAGGGAACTACATCCTGAACTACCTGGCGACGCGGCCAAAGATGGAGCCGTTCGTGGTGCAGGCCATGGTGACGCTGTTCGGCAGGCTCACCAAGCTCGGCTGGTTCGACGCCACCAAGGACGACTTCGTCTTCCGCAACGTCATCGAGGACGTCTCCGTGTTCCTGCAGGTGAGGACTCGGGGAATGGATAATTTAATCAATGCGAGCGCCTAGTGAAATCGATGTCGGCGACGTACCTTAACGGAACGCAAAGAATCAAACAAACTATAAAATTTGCATGTCGATGAGACTGGTTGATTTTAGTTCATTGATCGACCAGCTAGGCGGTGTATTTGCCCGAAGTGCTGCTAAATGATTTATGCCGTAGTGTTTACCAGTTCAGTGTGATAATGTGACCCGCTCAACGTTGCATTGACGTCACGTCGCCGAATTAACTTGCATTGTCTTTTTGTTTATAATATTAACCCTCGCATGTGTGCAGCGTTTGCCAGCTTCTAATGTGTAGGGGGGGGGTCGGTTGGACCCCCCCTTGCCGTTTGGCCCCTGATCGAGCTAGAGCTTCGCGGAAAAAACGACCGTGTTGCCCGTGACGAGAGGAAGCCGATGATACCAAATTTTAAGGTCCTAGGTCATTGGTTGACCTTCCAGGTCAGGTCAATGACCCAAGGTCGGGAAAATCGGGACCTGTTAGAAAGTCGTAAAGTGTGGCTGCTAAGGGGTTTTTCGGGGTGCTGATCACGAATATCGTGTTAGTTTTGATCACAGATGATGTCTTTAAGCATTTAGACCAGGTCGGGTCAGGTCAGGTCAGGTCAACCAGTAGGCGTCGTGACGGGTATTCGTATTACGTGTCAACCGCCTCTGACAGCTTCGTAACATGTTACGAAGTCACCAAAACTACTTCGCAAATGTTCAAATGGTTGCTAAATTCGAATTCAGCTCCAAAAACTAGCCTAGAAACATGTAAAACTCGAAAAAGTGAACCGAGGTCACCAAAGGTCAATGACCTGACCTGACCTTCAGGTGACCTTGACACTCACCCTAATGCATGGGAGCAACATCAAATCACATGTTTGAACGTTTGAAACCACGAAAAGCTTGCAAACGCGCGGCTAATGCGAGCCGACATACGCGGAATCGCGATTCCGGCCAAACATGGTCTCAGAAAAGAGGTCACAGGTCAAAGGTCATTAGGGTCAGGGTCATGAAATTTTTTAAAGTAGGTGTAAAATTGATCAATGTGAGGGTACTGAAAGTTTCGTCGCGATCGGCCGCTTTTTACGCGAGTTATTCGCGAAAAAACATGGGGGGGGGGTCCATCCGACCCCCCTACACATGCGAGGGTTAAAATTTCGGATATTTATTGTCATTTTAAAATATATTTTCAGAATATCCCCGCGACTAAGAATGTTCTTAAGGCTGCTTCACTGATTGCTGAGCCCTCGTTTACCAAACTGGCTGCCACTAAGGTGCTGACATTGTGCACGCTGCACCTCCGCACATTTTCCAATAGGGACTGTGTTTTGCTCGCTTTATTCACTCCACCCCAGCTGACACCTCTACCCTCCGTGCCGCAGGGCTCCGTGCAGCACTGCATGATCGGCGTCCAGCTGCTCTCCCAGCTGACGGTGGAGATGAACACGCTGACCGAGACCGACGCCATCCGCTCGCTCAACAGGCACCGCAAGACGGCCGCCTCGTTCCGCGACACCAGTCTCTACGAGGTGTTCCAGCTCAGCTGCACGCTGCTCCGCACCGCCCTCGAGAACTGCAAAAACCTCGACTTCAGCGACGAGTCGCAGGTGAGGAGACGGGGAGCTGTTGACACACACTCCACTATTTGCGAGCGTGCTTTTTGCAAAATTATGTGCTGCAATCTTTCGTTCTTTTGTTGTTTTAGTGGTTTTGACTTTAATGTTTACGTTACCGTTTACTCTTTTTGTGTATTTTATATTTCTCACCATGAGTCATGGCGTCTCCGCTCACGGTCACTGCGCTGGGAATCCTTTAATCTCCCGGCGCGGAATGTGAGATGACCATGGTTACGTCACCTGTCCTAGTCAGTGCCGCCGCGCGAGAGGTGACATCACTCTCCATTCGCCGCATTGTCGGGGGTACGGCGTGATGCAAGGCTATCGGGTGATGGCGTATCGCCATATCCATCTCCTCGCCCGTCCACAGCCCGTGTTCACTTTCCATCTCTGTTTCACGATCCGGGTATATTACCTCATCTGCTCTCCGCAGATACGACTTTCGTTTACTGTCGGTTATGAGTGGATGTTATTTGTGATTTGTCGTTACACACTGTGTTCTGACTGGCGTCTCGTCTCCTCTCCACAGCACGGTCTGATGACCCAGCTGCTGCGGCTCTCGCAGAACTGTCTGATGTTTGACTTCATCGGCACCTCTACCGACGAGTCGTCAGACGACCTGTGCACCGTGCAGATCCCCACCGCGTGGCGGCCCGCCTTCCTGGACGCCGCCACGCTCAAGCTGTTCTTTGACCTGTATGCCTCGCTGCCCTACTCCCTCTCCTCGCTGGTGAGTTTTGGTCGGCCGAGCTCGGCCGGGAAGGTCGGCTATAACGAGCGACGCCTATAATGTAATGCTATGTCGGAGAAAGGGGGAAAGGGCATGAATATCAACTGGTTGGAATGGCTTAGAGTATTTATGCAGCAAGATGCCTGAATGCTAATTTCACAGTTTTCAAAAACTAATGGGTAACTAATATCTCTCAATAAGGTCTTAGTTTGTTATTGTATGGTAGGGCATTGTGTAATTCGTGACTTAAACTGACGTATTGCTCTGAAAATGACATGGGCTATCATGGTACTTTGATGCTGCTTCCGCGTGTCTTTCCTGATCACTGCCCCTCTGACGTGTTGCAGGCGTTATCGTGTCTAGTGCAGATCGCCTCCGTTCGGCGGTCATTATTCAACAACCAGGAGCGGGCCAAGTTCCTCAACCACCTCGTACAGGGCGTCAAGAACGTGCTACAAAATCCCCAGGTACGGCGCACCGTCCGTCCCCCGGCCTGTGGCTTGCCGGGAATGTGAGGCAGGGCGGCCGGACGGCGGGTTATTGATTTCCGCCTCCTGGGCCTCGTTTCGTAAAAGGAATTACTTACGGCGTTCCGTCAATTATGCCAGATTTGGCGTATTTGATGCCAATTCGGTTTCATAAAGCCGGAGACCGGAGTAAATCACGCCATCGAAATTACGGAGCATCATTTACGGCAAATGCTCGATTCCGGACCAATTAATGCCATTTCGGTTTCATAAAACGACGTAATTAACGCCAAATATTTTATCAAGTTCTTGATATCATTGGTGTAAACTACGCACAAAAATGTTGCGTGAATTTGAATAAATGTTAAGATTCAAAGCTAATTTTTAACCTTTTTTTATAATGTTGAGCCCGGTGAGGAAGAAAGAACAGCCAAAATGAGAAAAAGAAACTGCAACTCTTCTGTATCAGTCGCTTTTTGCGGCCACTATCGGAATTTTGTTTATTCGCCGCGCCGCGCCACTTTCGTAGTTAGGCACTTCCGCTTCTGCTGTTTTTAATAATTTGATTTAATAAAGGATGGTCATCAAAATCAATTTTGTTTTTTCACATATAATTTTTGATATTAAAATGTAGCATAATTGTTTTATAATTTCTCGTAAAAAATAAGTGTTGACATGAAATTGTAATTTGTAGGACGCTTGATAAAAATACGGCAACTACGCGAATGTGCTTAGTTACGGAGGTGTAAACAATTCCAGTTGTGGCTTTGTGAAACGGCTTCATTTGCGCTCCGTAGTTTGAAAGGGTGTGAATTACGGAAAGGTGTAAGTTACGGCAGAGCTTTATGAAACGAGGCCCTGGAATGTATGTATGTATGTATGTATGTATTGCTTATCTTTGGAGAAACCACACAGGCACTTACACTCCAGCGTCAAGCACAATCATAGTAAGTTAAAATATGAAGCAAGCAGATCATTGTAAGAGGTCACACAGCCACACTGACATACCTATCGGGATCATTTGGACGCCAAACAACTGCGTATGCTTCGCTTGAACTTGGCCGCCCTCGACTGCCTCACCTCCGGTGGCAGGCGGTTCCAAGTCGCAATGGCTCGGTGAGGGAACGACATTTTTGTGCACTGCAGACGACACCTAGGGATTTGGGTATCGGTAACCCTGGCGTCACCGGTAGCGTTTTCGTTCAAGGTTAAGGTTTCCTGTATTAGGCAGTATTAGGCCACCGTGCCAAGCCGAAGCATGCTGTGACGTCACTGGGTGAGAGAACGTACCACGCTATCAGTATCAACTGAGGCTCAGATAGACTCAGAACGACTCAGGCAGACTCAAACTGACTCAGACCGACTCAACCGACTCAAATAGATTCCGATCGACTCAGACCGACTCAGAACGACCCAAACTGACTCAGACCGACTCAACCGACTCAAATAGATTCCGATCGACTCAGACCGACTCAGAACGACTCAAACTGACTCAGACCGACTCAACCGACTCAAATCGATTCCGATCGACTCAGACAGACTCAGAACGACTCAGGCAGACTCAAACTGACTCAGACCGACTCAAACTGACTCAGACCGACTCAAACTGACTCAGACCGACTCAACCGACTCAAATCGATTCCGATCGACTCAGACCGACTCAGAACGACTCAAACTGACTCAGACCGACTCAACCGTCTCAAATCGATTCCGATCGACGCAGACAGACTCAGAACGACTCAGGCAAACTCAAACCGACTCAGGCAGACTCAAACTGACTCGATTTGAGTCGGTTGAGTCGGTTTGAATCCGCCTGAGTCTGTCTGAGTCGTTCTGAGTCTTTCTGAGTCGCTCGGAATCGATTTTAGTCGGTTGAGTCGGTCTGAGTCAGTTTGAGTCGGTCTGAGTCAGTTTGAGTCGTTCTGAGTCGGTCGAGTCAGTTTGAGTCTGCCTGAGTCGGTTTGAGTCTGCCTGAGTCGTTCTGAGTCTGTCTGAGTCTGCCTGAATCATTCTGAGTCTGCCTGAGTCGCTCGGAATCGATTTGATTCGGTTTGAGTCCGCCTGAGTCGTTCTGAGTCGGTCTGAGTCGATCGGAATCAATTTGAGTCGGTTGAGTCGGTCTGAGTCAGTTTGAGCCAGTTTGAGTCAGTTTGAGTCGTTCTGAGTCTGTATGAGTCTGCCTGAGTCATTCTGAGTCTGCCTGAGTCCCTCGGAATCGATTTGAGTCGGTTTGAGTCCGCCTGAGTCGTTCTGAATCGGTCTGAGTCGATCGGAATCGATTTGAGTCGGTTGAGTCGGTCTGAGTCAGTTTGAGTCGGTCTGAGTCAGTTTGAGTCGGTCTGAGTCAGTTTGAGTCGGTCGAGTCAGTTTGAGTCTGCCTGAGTCGGTTTGAGTCTGCCTGAGTCGATCGGAATCGATCGGAATCTATTTGAGTCGGTTGAGTCGTTCTGAGTCGGTCTGAGTCGATCGGAATCGATTTGAGTCGGTTGAGTCGGTCTGAGTCAGTTTGGGTCGTTCTGAGTCGATCTGAGTCGATCGGAATCTATTTGAGTCGGTTGAGTCGGTCTGAGTCAGTTTGAGTCGGTCTGAGTCAGTTTGAGTCGGTCTGAGTCAGTTTGAGTCGGTCTTAGTCAGTTTGAGTCGGTCGAGTCGGTTTGAGTCTGCCTGAGTCGTTCTGAGTCTGTCTGAGTCGATCGGAATCGATCGGAATCTATTTGAGTCGGTTGAGTCGTTCTGAGTCGGTCTGAGTCGATCGGAATCGATTTGAGTCGGTTGAGTCGGTCTGAGTCAGTTTGGGTCGTTCTGAGTCGATCTGAGTCGATCGGAATCTATTTGAGTCGGTTGAGTCGGTATGAGTCAGTTTGAGTCTGCCTGAGTCGTTCTGAGTCTATCTGAGTCTCAGTTGATACTGATAGCGTGGTACCGTGGTACGTTCTCTCACCCAGTGACGTCACAGCATGCTACGGCTTGGCACGGTGGCCTAATACTGCCTAATGCAGGAAACCTTAACCTTGAACGAAAACGCTACCGGTGACGCCAGGGTTACCGATACCGGGATTTGTAGCATAGTATCATCAGCGGTGGAGCGCGTCGGTCTCAGCGATACCTGTGACCGAGTCTCAACGAGTGCCCTCAGCTGCCGGGATGCGTCCCTCTGCCGCATTACATGATAGATTCCGGCTGCACATCGCGCAGATCGATCATCGCATCGAACGTAGGCCAGCCTAGCTCCAATCTGGCTTCCGTGACGCGGTCAAATTTACGGAGCCCTGTGACAGTTCTAACTGCGAAAATTAACACCTTCTCGATCCGTTTCCTGAGAGTCTTTGATTTGGGGGCCCAAACAGGAAGACAGTACATGAGCGTGGGGAACACCAGCGCCTGAATCAACATTTTGGTTGTCTCCCGAGGTAAATTCAATTTCCGAATAGAAACAAAAGCACCACTACACTTCTGTGCCACTGAGCTAACCTGTTTTTCCCAGTTCAAATGACAGTCGAATTGGACACCTAAGATTTTGATGCTTTCAGAGTGCTGAAGTGACACACCATCAAAGTTCACAACTAAATCTGATACGCTTGCGGTGTTTGCTGGGGTTCCAGCCAGCAGGAACTCGGTCTTGGTGGGATTTACTTTGAGCCCGTTACAGCGAAACCACCGAGACAGTTGAACTAAGTCGGACTCTATGTGACGTTTGAGCTGCGTCACATTATCGGGTTCAGCACAATGCACTAGCTGGCTGTCGTCCGCATAACTAGATAGCCAGCCGAACTGAATATGGCCCACAAGGTCATTCATGAACAGGTTGAACATGGTGGGACCCAAAGTTCCGCCTTGGACCACACCAAACGGCACCTCCTCGATGCTGGTTCCCCCCTTCACAGTCTGGGTCCGATTCGCGAAATAGTTCCCCAGCCAATGGGTCGATATTCCATACCATCCTAGCTTGGACATCACTGCACCACGCTGGACACAATCGAACGCCTTACTGAGGTCCAGTGACGTCACCGATGTGACCATGCCACGATCGGTGTTGTGAGCTATGCGGCTGGCTAGACAGATCGCAGCATCCTCCGTCGAGTGGGCAGGGCGATAGGCGAACTGGGTGGGAGTCAGAATGTTGTTACTATTTAGATAGCTCAAAATTTGCAAATTTACAATCTTCTCGGCTAGTTTTGAGATTACATTTAGAACACTGACTGGCCGAAAGTTGGCTGGCAACGTTTTGTCTCCTGACTTATAGATCGGAACCACCGTGGCATGTTTCCATAGAGAGGGCACGACACCGGTTGAAAGCGAGTGGTTAATGACATGTAGCACAATAGGACCCACTACTTCGAAACATTCGCGTAAAAGCTGCACAGTTACACCGTCGCTTCCGGCCGCTCTACTGCTACTCAGTCGCCGCAAGGCAGAGCTCAACTCCGGCAGCGTCACGACGTGCACACGGAAAGCTGAGCTACACACAATCGGTGGCCGTGGACACACTGGCTCAACTCCAGTCGCTCTTAGCTCCTCAGCCACGCGGGAACCGAGACGAGCGAAGAACGTGTTGAAGTCGTCTGGGCGAATCTCGCTAGCTGCCTGATCATCGGTAGCTCCCGCGCTGAGTGCGAACTTTCGCAAGTTGTTCCACGTCTCCTAAGGGTTGCCGGATCGAGACGGCATCGTGAAAAAGTCTCGACGAGGAATGCTATGTCATCAGACGTAAACAGCTCTGACGTGATCGTCGCTCGTGACAGCACACCTACGATCAACAGACACTCAACTCAATTACCAACGACGAACAGGAGAACTAAATCTAATGCAGAAAGTGACATTAACGAATCAGCACTTACTAGAATTAACACGAAGGGCGATTCAGTGGCACATGGAGCTGTGAAATGTGCACCAACATATAACACTCATTCAATCACGGCAGTGGCCGAATAAGAGTACTTTTCTCGTTTTAACTATTGTATTCATTCCGCGCACTTTGGGCAGGGCCTGACTGACGCCAACAACTACCACGAGTTCTGCCGGCTGCTGGCGCGGCTCAAATCCAACTATCAGCTGGGCGAGCTGGTCATGGTCGACAACTACCCGGACGTCATACGGCTGGTGGCCAAGTTCACAGTGGAGAGCTTACAGGTGGGTCTGGCGCGACGGCAGAACCGGGGGGAACCGGGGGCTGTGGCCGCTGGCCGAGCAAAGTGAGAAAAGCAGTGGGCTTTTTCTGGTTCAAAAAAGTTCTCGTAAGGTGAGAACTTCATAGTGATGTATCATAGTGATGTATGATGTATCATAGTGATGACTCCAGGGTGATGTATCTTATCCCGCGCCCTGCTGGGGGGGTGTTTGAACACCCCCCTTGTGGTTTTTCGCGAATATCTCAAAAACGGCGGCGCGGAGCGCCGCCGTTTTTGGTACAGCTTATCATACATCAATTCTACACATGTTGTGAAAATTTCAGACCAAGGTCATTCAAGGTCAGGTCACCAGGTCACTTGAAGTGACCTCACCTCATAAAAAGTTTCAATGTCTGTCATAGCTACACCGAGTGACCGATCGCTTTGAAACTTTCAGCGATTGCTAAGAGCAATAGCACGTACAAAATGTATATCTCAGAATTTTGATATCGATGACCTGAGGTCAGGTCAATTTTGCGACCTCCCCATTATAAGTCAATGGGAGAAAATTGAAATGCGCCTCTTTTGGACGAAATACGTTGTAAACACTCCCAAACACTGAATTACAAGTGGTTTAGACACACTGAACATGAAAATGGTGTCCGTGACCCCTGTTTATGCCCTGAGGTCATCTTAGGTCACGAATAGTATCGAACAGTTTTTCGCAAATAACTTTTGATAGAGGCATGCTAGAGCGATGAAAACGCATTAGATGTGTTCAGCTCGACGATACGGATCGACTGATATGCAACATGACCCTTTCAGGTCAGGTCATGACCTTGACCTGAGGTCAAATTTTCAAGTTGACCTTTCAAGGTCAAGTTATAGTTCATTCGATGCGTCTTGACGAGAGGAACACGATGCCGGTAAAAGTAAGCTCGTGCAAGGCTTGGATCAAAAGTTATTGCAGAAAAACTGTTTCCGAAAAAATCGGCTATTTTTGCAGTTTTTGCCCCCTGCAGGCAAAACCGTTGACGTTAGGTCAAATCTGAGAGAATTACTCAGAAAGGGCGTTAATAGGGCTATCGAATGCGCTTTTCCGCGGCGCTGTAGCTCTATTGGTTCCCAAGTTATGCGTTGGCATCTTGGAAATTGTCGACATTCGACCTGGAAATCGGCGAAATTTTGCCTTCAATGACCTCTGGTGACCTGACCTTTGACCTGACCAAAAAATTGACTGAAGTGATTTCGTCATTATTTTTGGCGCTCTTTCGAACGCCGCCTTCCGCGTATCGCTACGTTGCCCAGGAGCCGAGTTAGAAGGGGGGGTGTTCAGACACCCCCCCCCCCCCAGCAGGGCGTGGAAATCCAGGACCCCCAGCCGGGCGCGGGTTATAGAGCCAACGTTTGTCCGAGTTTTCTTGCTTTCTCGCTCACTGTCCGAGATGCATTGCGAAGTACGAACTCACATTAGTATCAGTAAGTGGACCCTGAATCAGCTCTTAGATCCCGCCCAGCATCATCACATTTCTACCAGTCCTTAGTAGCTGACCATGGCACTGTTCGATGGTGTTCCTATTGTTGCGTTCACTCACCGAGCACTCGTCGATAACTGCCGCGTCCGTGCGGCGCTGGCCCGCGCGGAGCGGGACGGGGTTGTGACCTCCAGTGCCCCGGGGCAAGGTCAGCTGGCGGTCGGATGATCGTCCGGTCACGCGCAGGGGCGGTCGCGCGCGCACAGTGAGGGGAGGCCGAAGTGTGACCGCCACACACCTCCCTCCCCACTTCCAGCTACATCTTCGTGTAGGTGAGCCGATCAGGCTCGTTGCGGTTTCGCAGCGGGTAGCGGTTCAGCTGCGGCGGGGAGCAGGTCTCAGATTCAGCAGGCTCCTCGGTGGGCTCATCCTCAGCAGCCCTCGGTCCGTGAGAACCGTCCGGTACCGCGCCATGACGCAGGTCTTCCACGGCCAGGTCCACGAACGAGTCCAGGCGGGTCTCGTCAGCCCGACGTGCAGGCGCCGGCGCCGGCAGGACGGGGGCCGGGGTGCCGGCGTCCGAGCTGCAGTCCTCAGAGAGCAGTCGGTCAGGCCTCGCTGGACAAGCACGCAGGCGGTCGTGGTGCACGATCATAGACCGCCTCCTGCCGTCTACTTCCCTCACTCGGTAGGTCACTTCGCTCTTCAACTGGAGAACCTCGAACGGTCCTATCCACTTGTTGGACAGCTTCGGACTGACGCCTACCTTCCTGTTCAGGTTTGACACCATGACGAGGTCCCCCGGAGCGTGCTGACTGAACCTGACGGTCTGTTTCTGTCTGTAGGCGCGCCTGCTGGACTCCACCTTCTCCTTCACCTCATGGCGCAGCTCGTCCAGTTCTTGGAGGCGTGATGCTATCTGGCTGTCATCTCGGGCGCGACCTGTCGCGAGATCTGTTGGAGTCGTGGCCTCATAGCCGAGCAGCAGCATATGTGGAGTCTGTCCCGTTGTTTCATGTACGCTTGTCCGGTAAGCCGCCATGACCTCCGGGAGCCGTGCATCCCAGTCAGCGTGATTTGTCGACACGTAGGACAGGAGCATGTTGCCGAGTGTTCTCATGAACCGTTCCGCTTGCGGGTTTCCTTGTGGATGATGGGGAGTTGTTCGACTTTTCTGGATGCCGAACCTTGCACACAGCATGCGGAAGAGCTCAGACTCAAACTGCTTCCCTTGGTCTGAGTGGATCTGACGCATGGCGCCGAAGCGACAGATGATCTCATCCATGAGGACCTTGCACACGCTCTCGGCGTCCTGACGCTCCATCGGGAACGCTTCCGTCCACTTCGTTGCCTGATCTGTGACAACGAGTATGTACTTGTTACCCCTCCGACTGGGCGAGAATGGTCCGCAGATGTCAACTGACACGAAGTCCCACGGCCGCAGCGGAACAGGCAACGGCTGATGTGGGGCCTTGTCGCGCTGGTCTGGCTGCTTCACCTGGAGACACACCTGACAGGAACCGCACCAGTCGGAGACATCCGCAGTCATCGTGACCCAGAAGAACCGGTCTCTTACCCTATCCAGAGTGCGCCTCCCTCCTTGATGGCCAGACATGGGGTCATCGTGCGCCAGCCTCAGCACAGCCGGCACCAGGTGTGCCGGCACGACAACTTGCTCGCGCTCTCGGCCGCGGCACCTGTATCTGTTGATCAGTAGTCCAGCTTCGATCTTCAACGCGTCTCTTCTCCTCCAAAGCCGTCGTGCTCCTTCCGGAGCGGTCTGGGCGAGCCTGCCGATCGCGGTGCCGTCCTTGACACAGCGCAGAGCCTCGTCCCGCTCCTGCTCCTCCGGTGTCACCAGAGCCGTGTCTGTCAGACGCACGGCGCTGACCGGCGCACGGGACAGCGCGTCGGCATGGGGAATGGACTTCCCGGCGACGTGTTGGATGTCGAGCTCGAACTCAGACAGCTTCAGAGCCCACCTGGCGAGACGTCCCTTCAGCTTGTTGGAGGTGGAGAGAGCCAGCAGTGGGTTGTGATCCGTTCTGAGCACGCAACGCCTCCCGTAGATGTAGACCCTGAAGTGTTCCACGGCCCAGACCAGTCCAAGACACTCCTTCTCCGTGGTCGAGTAGTTACGTTCGGCCTTTGCCAACACTCGGCTGGCAAACGCGACGGGCCGGCCATTCTGAGACAGGATCGCGGAGATCCCAACATCGGAGGCATCAGTCGTCAGCTCGAAGTCGCTGTCCATCTTGGGATACGCCAGGACTGGCGCAGTCACCAGAACGCCTCTCAGTTGTTGGAACGCACTGTCACACTCTGTAGTCCATCTGAAGCCGTTCTTGAAAGTACGGTCTGCCTTCCTCTCCAACAGTCTCAGCAGCGGCTTGGCCATGTCGGCGTACTTGGGACAGAAGCGCCGATAGTAGGATGTCAGACCGATGAACCTCTGAAGCTCCTCGTGCGATGCTGGCGTCGGGTAGTCGCTTACGGCCTTGAGCTTGTCTGGATCAGGGCGGATGCCGTCCTGGGTCACGAGGTACCCCAGGTAGCGTACCTCCTTCTTGGCGAAACTACACTTCCCCAGCTTCAAGAGCAGATTGGCGTCCGCGAATCTCCCCAGGATGTCGTCCAGTCGTTTCAGGTGCGTGTCGAAGTCCTTCGACCATAGGATGACATCGTCCACGTACGACAGGGTGTATAGCCAGTTCGAGTCCGCCAGAAGCATCTGGAGCGCCATCTGCAGCGTTGCGCCTGAGTTCTTCTGCCCCATGGGCATCCTCAGCCACTCGTAATGGCCGCTGTGGGTCGAGAACGCTGTCTTCTCGATGTCACGCTCGTCCATCTTGAACTGCCAGTATCCGCTGGCCAGGTCCAGTGTGGTGAAGAAGCTGTTGTTCTGCAGACAGTCCAGGGCGTCGTCGATCCGGACCAGCGGGTGTGCGTCGAACTCGGTCACTTTGTTGAGGCCTCGGTAGTCGATGGTGAGCCGACTGCTACCGTCCTTCTTCTTGCACATGACGACGGGCGCGCTCCACGGGCTGTGGCTTCTGCGGATGAGTCCTTTCCGCATTAGGTCCTCACAGAACTCTTCGGTCTTCCGTCGGGTCTCCCAGTCGGTTCTGCGCGGGGGTATCCGGATGGGCAGCTGATGCTGGTCCTTCAGACGTATGCGGTGCTTCACCAGGTCGCACATACCGACCTCTCCCCGTACGGAGAACGCGCCGTTGCGTCGCAGCAGGACCGCCGCCAGGGCACGGCGCTGCTCGTCCGTCACATCCGACTCGGCGACCTTGCTGCGGACCATGTCTTCCAGCTGTCGCTCTCTTGCCTCCCTTTCCTCCCGGTTGAGATCGCTCAGCGGCGAGGCACGCACTGTCGGCGGATCCGCGTAGCCGACACATCGGGCGACAGTGCACGACTTGTACAACTTCACTGCACTTCGACCCGGGTTACACAGCCGCAACTGAACAGCGCTGTCTGTCCTGATGACGTCCACAGAGCTCGAGACGCAGAGGCTGTTCCCGTAGCGTCGTGTGAACTTGCTGTCCTCGACCAAGGTGATGTGCTGCCCGGGTGCACATGCAGTGTCGGCCCGCACTCTGCCCGCCAGCAGAACCTCAGACGCCGCGGGGATGGTGACGTCCGCGGTGAGCTCGACTGGGTGTCCGTCGGTAGCCGGTGCACCGGCCGCGGCTGGGCCGCCAGCGTCGCGGCTCTCCATAGCCGCAACTGCAGCTGGGCCGCCGGGTACCACCGCCCTCTCGCCGAGGCTGCGTCCGCCGGTCACACGCCTGTCGGCCGTAGAGTTCTCCGTCAGTCGCATAGTCATGTGCACGAAGTCGAGCGCCACCTCGCCATACAGGGACAAGAAGTCATTGCCGAGGACGCATTCGGTGTTCACACTGTCGACAATCAGTACCGTGTGACGCCGCGGCGGCAGGTGACCACACTCGACGGTTGCATCAACAGTCCCCCTCACCTTCAACGGCGTGCCATCAATAGTCACCGGTGCCGATGCAGGGTGCACGAGGGGTTGGAACACTTTGCACCCTACCGCCGGGCAGCTGCTGGTGACGAACGTGACGTCACTGCCAGTGTCAGCAAGCCACGTGACGCGGACGCCGTCGATGGTGCCCCGGATCAGCGGAGTCGTCCGAGCCACCCTAGAAGAGGCTACTACAGCGGGGACCGAGGAGCGGCGGCTCACATCCTCCTCGGTCCGTTCCCGTTTCCCGACCGCCGGTCTGCTGGGCGTTGGTACGGACAGTCAGAGCGCCAGTGGGAGAGTTCACCGCAGTTGAAGCAGCCCTCCTCCCTCCGACGGCTCGGTGTTCGGCGCCTGTTGGATGAACGGGACGAGCGGTTGTAGTCGCGGCTGGGACGGAATACGCGACATGCCTGCATCTGCTCCTCCAGCATCTGGATCTTGTCGGACAGCGCCGACAGCACCGAAGTCTCGCTGGGCTGAGGTTGAGAGCCGGTACTCCACGCGTCCGACTGTTCTCCTCTCGGGAGACCATGGACGGCCCCCACAGATGCGCCGCCTCCCGTTGACGTCTCGATCTGCTCCAGCTTTCTCGCCTCCAGGAGAACCGTCTCTGTCGACCACGTTGGTTGGTAGAACGAAAGTATGTGTTTCCTCGACTTTTCTCCGATGCCCATCAGAAACCGATCCTTCACCAGCCGCTGGCGGTATGTGGCGTCCTCCCACTCGGGGTAGGCGCGAGCACACAACGTTTCCAGATCGTACAGGAACGTCGCCAGTGATTCGCCGGGCCTGCGAATACGCTGATGAAACTCCAGCGCGTACTGAACAGCGAGTCCGGGAGAGTCGAACTCGGCATTCAACTTCTCGCACAGTTTCTTCCAGCTGTTCCTGTCGCCGTCGGAGAGGCGCATCGCGAAGTCGAATGCCCGACCGGTGATCGCCGGGAGCGCCATTACCGCCGTAGTTTCGTCACTGAAATCGCTGGAGGTCTTCTGTTCCGGTTTTGAACTGTCCCAGTTGCAAGCACGGGCAATCACTTCTATCTTGCTGATCCACGTTTTTACATTGCCACTGCCGTCAAATTCCGGTAAACGGTAATTCTTCGCCATAGCCATGGCTCCGTTGCAGTTTTCCGCTGCCACCACGTGTTGCGTTCACTCACCGAGCACTCGTCGATAACTGCCGCGTCCGTGCGGCGCCGGCCCGCGCGGAGCGGGACGGGGTTGTGACCTCCAGTGCCCCGGGGCAAGGTCAGCTGGCGGTCGGATGATCGTCCGGTCACGCGCAGGGGCGGTCGCGCGCGCACAGTGAGGGGAGGCCGAAGTGTGACCGCCACACTATTGATGCTCAGAATTCAGAACTGCTGGTCTCTCCCAGTGTGTACTCCGCCCCATCCGAGTATCCCCCGGCTGCCGTATGCTTTCTGACGACTGTGTCCTCTCCGCGTCGCCCTCAGATGTGGCAATTTGCGCCAAACAGCGTCCACTACCTGCTGAGCCTGTGGCAGCGCATGGTGGCCTCGGTGCCGTACGTCAAGGCATCGGAGCCGCACCTGCTGGAGACCTACACACCAGAGGTCACCAAGGCCTACATCACGTCCAGGCTCGAGGCCGCCGCCGTCGTCGTCAGGTGGGTGGTCACTCATGGTCGTGCTGTTTGCAGATCTGTCACTGGTCAGGGCTTCCTTGCTTGGGTTGAGGAATCGAGATGCTATGAAAGAAAGGGATGGTTGTTCAGTGGCCCGGCAAGGCAAGCACAGTTTTGCCAAGTTCTACCTACTTGCTTGGTCTCATTTCGCCTGTCTTTGGATGTTAATTGGTTTGATACGACGTATGATATTACGATGCGTAGCATAAATAAGGATGACATTTAATCACATCGGACATGCATCTGCAAGAATATGGTTGTGTCGATGTCTGACCGTGCTGTCTCGTTCTCCGTGCAGGGACGGCCTGGAGGACCCGCTGGACGACCTGGGCATGGTGCAGCAGCAGCTGGACCAGATCAGCACCATCGCACGCTGCGAGTACAAGAAGACGTGCCGCCTGCTGGTCAGTCTGTTCGACGAGACGGCGCAGGCCTACCAGCAGGCGCTCAACGTCAACAACCGGCTGGAGAGTGCCATCAAGGAAGGTGGGTTGGACCGGTCGGCGGAGGCTGCTGCATGACGTCCGGCTGGGCTGTGTGGGCAGCCGTGTTGTGCACTGTACAGCAGGCTTAGGTGACACGAGGAGGACGGGTGTGGTGCTCGTGATACTGGGAACTAGAGCTCTTCTAACTGATTACGACTTGTTATTTCCTTGACTAAATGACGACTTGCATAAGACATATGGTCACATAATGTGCCATCTTGACGATGCAGTGTAAAATATCTCCTAACTATAGTGGTAGACTGGTTGCAGTGTCTGTGACTGTGTGCACGCCAAGACTCACTGTCTGTGGTGAGGTGCTGTGTGTGCCGGCCGGTGCCGGTCTCCGACTAACCGTCCGCCGTCTGTGTGTCTGTCTCTCCGCGCAGCTCAGCTAACCCGGCTGGTTTACATAATTGGCTCGGCGGTCGGCGGCCGGGTCAGTTTCAACACAAACGATGAGCACGACAGCATGGACGGAGAGCTCATCTGCAGGTGAGCCCCAGGGGAGAGCGGCGGACGATCGGCGACCGAGCAATGGTGTGCCGTGGTTTGCTGTGGTAGTTAAGATTGGGAAAGGCCGCTTTTAAAAGCACAAACTAGAGTTTTATACTGCGGATGCTCGTAGGAGCTTGAAAAGAACTATCACTAGCTTGGGCTCGTATGTGCCTTTTCGATGATCGTTTATTTCACCTCTCCACGACATGTGTGGAAACGCAAGGCTTGTTAAAATTACAATAATCTTGCTGGCGGCTAGCTCGCTGTCAGTTTATGCAGTGTTGACAGGGAGTCAAGCTGCTGCGATCACATCTGCGTCCCTCTGTGGACTTCCGCCCTCGACATTCACACTGTCGCGTCTGCTCACTCCCCGCCCTCGCCCCGTGCACTGACGGCCCGCGTATGCGCCGGCAGGGTACTCCAGTTGATGAACCTGACCGACTCGAGGCTGAACCAGGGCGGCTGCGAGAAACTCGAGCTGGCCACCATCAGCTTCTTCGAGCAGTTCAGGAAGATCTACGTCGGCGATCAGGTGCGGGGTGCCGTGTGGCATACTAACGGAGAACGGGTGGGAGAAGGGGAGCGCTGGGGAGGTAAACGGAATGGATGTAAGGAGAGGATATCAATGCAAAGTATGGTTATGATATGTGGCATCATTATAGTGGCCCTGTGGCAGTGTAAATCGTTGAAAGATTTGTTAGGTTGGTGTGGGTTCCTCAGGCGTTTACCAAGGTGTTTTGTTTGTGTTGTTTCAGGTACAAAAGACGGCCAAGGTGTATAGTCGTCTCTCCGAGGTTCTCGGTCTCAGTGATGAGGCCACGGTGCTTAGTGTTTTTATGCGTAAAATGTGAGTAGCTCTGAGGGGCCGTCCGAGCTCTGATATTAATCTTTTTATGTCAGCGCCAGTAGCGTCACTTCAGTCAATATGTATCTTGATTATTTTTTATTGCACTTCATGCTTCCATATTCTATATGAATTTCAACAGCTTGAATGGGAGTTTGAGTAACTGAATGTTTGCTCTTATATATTTTTTTTTTGCATCCATCGCAGTTGTTCCCGTTTGCTCTCGTCTAACACTCTACGCGTCTGTCGGCAGAATCACGAATCTGAAATTCTGGGGCGGCAGCGAGCAGATAACCACTCGCACTCTGATGCTGCTCAACGATCTGTCGGTGGGCTACAGCAGCGTGCGGAAGCTAGTCAAACTGGAGGAGGTGCAGTTCCTGCTCAACAACCACACGGTGAGTCAGCGAGCCAGCCGGTCAGACAGAGCGGCCCGTTCGGTACGATTGTTATCGGCCGTATATGTTGGATTCAGTTGTTGCTTTGCCGGTCATTCATTGAGCGAATCCATGACGATAGAGAAGTAATCTGAGACTGTTAATGTTTTTTTTTCGATGCTTACCTGACCTTTAATTTTCCCGTCTCCAATCGTACTCAGGATACATAAGCTAATTACCCGCCCAGTCATCCCTGTCAGTATCATCACCCCCTGCCTTTCGTCCCACAGAGCGACCACTTTCCGTTCCTGGGCGCCGGCGTGGCGGTGAAGGAGATGAAGTGTCGCACCATGTTCTACACGTCGCTGGGCCGGCTGCTGATGGTCGAACTGGGTGAGGACGACGCCAAGTTCCAGGCGTTCATGGAGCCGCTGACGGCCGCCTTCGACGCCATCGGCACACTCATGGCCAGCGAGGCCAACATGTTCCAGGTGAGCACCGGACCGGACCTGGACTGAAGCTAGGCGGACGGTTTATTGCCTGCCTTGAGAGGGACCTGACCCGGCCTAATCGGAGCACGGAGATCTGGGTCACTTGTCTGTGCCTGGGAATGATAGCGGCTGCGTTGTATGGTTGGAAAGACTTCGGCCTACGCTTTTAGGCATTCCGATTAATCACGCCACCTTTCGATTAAAGAACGATCAGACGCGCATTGAATCAAAGTTGGGTCCCTATCGTAATTATTTGATGTGCAATCTGTATCCACAAAGTTAAATCTATGGTGCCATCTCATGTTTTACACCTACGCTCGCGCCCCGCTGGCCGCCGGACAGGGCGAGGAGACCAAGAAGGCGCTGATCGGACTGGCGCGCGACCTGCGCGGCCTCGTGTTCGCCTTCAACACCAAGGCGTCCTACATGATGCTGTTCGACTGGATCTACCCGTCGTACACGCCGATCCTCCAGCGCGCCGTGGAGCTGTGGTTCACGGAGCCGCAGCTGACCACGCCCGTGCTGAAGCTGTTCGCCGAGCTGGTGCAGAACCGGTCACAGCGACTGCAGTTCGACGTCAGCTCGCCCAACGGCATCCTGCTCTTCCGCGAGATGAGCAAGCTGCTCTGCACGTACGGTGAGTGATGATAATGAAGTATGATTACAGTTACAAAGAAAAAAAAACGACAAAACCCACGTCTTACAGTACAATGTCGGTGAATCAATTGATGATAGCGTTTGACGGGCAATGCCTCAGACTACACTGGGTTGGGCAGATAAATTGGGACAAATTTCAACTTCCTCTAAAACGACTATTTTTTTAGTTATATTGATAATTTTTGAACATAAATATAGGCTAATGAATACTTTTCCATGTTATGCAGGTTGGGTTGTAATTTTGAGTCGGCTGGTCACAGAACGTGGGCTTAAGCAAGCCACTTTCAACTTAGTCCGCGCGCACATGCATGCCAATACTCTGATTATGCTCCATCAAATGGCTGAAAGTAGTGTGTATCGAACAGACGTAAACGTTGGAGGAAGAGAAGATATTGACTCATCCTTACATACCTATTGCATTGACACCGGCCGCTCCCCCGGTTTTCCAGGGGGGCTAAAAGCAAAATTCAGTTAAATCAGAGGATCCTCGCGAAAACAGTGGCGCGAGCTTACAACGAAGGTAGCCGCGCCATGAGAAAGCGATATACCAGCACCTCAAACATTTACTCTTATGCATTGATGCATATCAACCTGTTAACATAGATGTTGAAGCAGCTGTGACGTTAAAAAGATTGTTTCCTCTTGAAGGGCTTGGAGAAGCGAGCAAGCACGTGCAGGTCTTTTTCGACGATGGTATCCCCATAACCGAACACATGAACAACCGCAAACACCATGAAACATCGCAACCAGCCCAGAAGACGTGATCTTAGTTCCAAAGAGCATGCAGCAGACCTCGGTGATGGCATTCCACTCGGTGACTTCTGACGGTCACGTGGGGCCCCCTTATTTTACGGAATCGGGAGGGGGTTCGCCATTACAGCGTACCTAACCATTATCCAGGCAGTTCGAATCAACAAGATGGAAGAAGGCAACATCCTGCATGAAGTGATGCTCTTCGAGGAGTCAGCTCCCCGGCATACAGTAAATTAAATACAAAATCTCCTGAAACGGAGGATCCCGCAAACTGTACCCAAGGGAAAATGCCCCCTTCCTCATTAAACCTCAGCCCATACAAGTTCTGGTTGCTGGGGCGTTTTTGCGGGTGAGTCTAACGAACGTCCCCATGTGACTGTGGTGAGCCTCAGCAGTGCCAGTTGGCAACAATTACGAGCCATTTCAGACGGGAGATCTCGCCGCGCGTGCGGCCAGTCCAGACACCGATAAGGACTGATGCAGGTGGACCACGGTGACCATATTTGATGATAAATGTGTAAAATTGGTGCGACAATATGTGATCCCAATTTGAAATGCCTATGTTTACAAATTTCTAAGCTACGGCGTTCTGAATGCAAATATGTATTTTGTCCCAATTTATCTGCCCAACCCTGTATTTACATTGCTCGACTGACGGGCCTTTCGCCGTTGCTCTCGTGTGCTCCCGTCCCACTGGTCATTGTGGCACCTAGTTGTGACCCCGAGTCACTGACCGCTGTGGCTCCGTCTACCCCGCCCCCACTGACCGCTGTGGCGCCCTGCCCGTATCTCTCCCTTCTACAGGCGAGCGGATACTGACAATTCCCGACCTCTCCAAGGACCAAGTGTACCCGATGCGGCTCAAGGGCATCTGCATCTGCTTCTCGATGCTCAAGTCGGCGTTGTGCGGCAACTACGTCAACTTCGGCGGGTTCCGGTTGTACGGTGACGAGACGCTGGACAACGCGCTGCGGACGTTTGTCAAACTGCTCCTCTCGGTGCCGCACAGTGATCTCCTGGTGAGCAGCAAACATGGGAGCGCGTGGGGTGGGGACGGGGAGCGGGCGGGGCGAGGGACGGATGGATGGTTTGGCGCCGGAGGCTCGAGTTACGGAAATGGTGACGCTTTTTTGCTCTTGGTGGGGCTTACATCTGTTGAACTTACTTACGTTGAACAGTAACCAAGGTTACTGCATATTCTACGAAAGGTAAAAGCGAGAATGGATTATTTTCTCGCCAAAGCGCCATCTACGGACAAATACTTATGTGCCTTCGTTCTCGCCGTGATTCGGAGACTGTTTCACTATACCTGCCGCTAGTCACGGTTCTGCAGATTGTGACGCACGCCTCTTTCTCCGTCTGTTACAGGACTACCCGAAGCTGTCTCAGTCGTACTACGTGCTGCTCGAGTGTCTGTGCCAGGACCACATGGCGTTCCTCTCGTCGCTGGAGCCGCAGGTGTTCCTCTACATTTTCGCCTCGATCTCAGAAGGACTGCAGGCGTTAGGTGGGAATCTGAACTATTTCACAGGTACAGGCACAGCGCACGGAGGGGCGGCTGGGCGGGCGGCCCGACGCCCGGGCGCCGGCTCCGAGGCCGCGCCGGGCGCCGTCAAAGTACCCACTTCCACTCTGCCCTTCTTGAGACTCCGCTCCCTCTCCTCTCTCTGTCGCTATCACACTCTTTCAGCTCTTTCCTTTCTGGTGGTGGCTGTCGGGCTTGCAGATGCTAGTGTAGTTTTGCCACTGACGTTTACAGAACGCTCTGCCGTTTACACGCGCTTGTTTTTCCACGCACCATAAACTTTTTCGTTTTTTTAATGTCAATGGCTGTTGAAAAACAGTTGTTGATTGGTGTCTTAGCGCCTTTGCCCTCGCGCTATGTGTGGATCACTGCATTTAAAAAGGTACGTATGTGTAATACACTTGACCAGTGATTTTAGCTTTACGGTTGGAGCATGGCTGACGCACTGCTAACGAATCAGTTAACGAACCGGACGAACCAGTCGAATCAGCTCGAGATCGAATCGCTCCCGATATGAGATCGCACTACTGAGGCGAAAACGTTCTTTTCATTTTGTATTGTTATATTTTTTTGAACTTCCTGTTGAATGAGTACATGCTTTTTCGGTACGTATCGCGATGATTTTTGTTTATTTGTAGGCATATACATATTTACCGATATTTGTTGTCCATGAGCTGATGGCTACGTTATGCCACTTAAGTCTTTCGACAAACAACATCGACATCCACCAAAGTATCGGCAAGCCAGAAAGTCCTCACTCGTCACCAATATCCACATCTGTTTCATCCCTCTGGCGACCCTTCCTCGCGACTTTCCCTCTCCGGATCTCGTCAGAGCGTCGCTGTCTCCTTTGCTGGTCCCCCGCCGCCCGGCTCTGTCTGCCGGCGGTGTCAGGGCGCCTCTCTCTCTCTGTCGGCGGTTGCCCGGTGTCGGTCTCTCGCCGTCCGCCGCGGGGTCCGGCCGGCCGTCCGCCGCCCCGCCGCCCAGCCGGGCATGCACGACGCACGCACGTCCGTCCGTGTGCAGTTATAGGGCGCACCCCGGGCCGCCTGGGCCGACCGCCGCATGGCCGTCTGACGGGCCGACTGCCCGATTGACCCTTCATGCTTCTCTGCTGAGCGTGTTTTAGTGAAAGCAGGCGTACACTTTGCAGGGTTGTGCGTAGTATGTGTGCTTTATTTGTCAGGACGTACTTCCGATGCTCGCATGTATGACTGTGTGAATCGACTTGCACCCGCTTATTCTTAAACCCGTTTGCTCAGCTTGCATAGACGAGCAATGCACATTTAGTCTTGCCTTTATCCCTACCTGCTTTGCACTCATTTTGCGCGTGTTCATCTATAAACAGAGTAGCTTTAGCGAACTTCAGTGGAGGCAAGAACGGCATGGGATTGAAGTAGCAGTCTCGAGTTTGCTCTGTTGCAGCATTTTCAAAGACATCAATCGTACTTTCTTTTCTGTTCACTTTTTTATAGATTTAAAGATGTAGGTGGATTTCATTGAGTAATGCCTTCGTTTCGATGTGTTTTCTCGCTTTTGGTCCTCGCATTTGGCCTTGATGGTCATTTTACGTTCCGACGTTGTTGCTCTTACCTCAGACTGCTGACAAAGTTCTCTCTGACAAAGTTGAGCTCGACTGTCCCAGTTGTGATGCTGTGCGGGGAGAGGATTGTGCCAGTATCAGGGTTTGTGTCTGTCTGTGTGTGTGTGAGGGGTGGGTCGGGGAGCGCCGAGTGGTGCCTACGCCTGTCTCTGTCTGCGCCTCTGTGTTTTGGAGTGCCGGGGAGGGCCGTGCGGTGCCGGTGGCTGCCTGCCGGTGCCTTGGGTCGGTATACCTATCCTCGTCTGTCTGTCGTTGCCTCTTTGTATGTGTGCACGGATGGCCGGGCGGTGCCGGTGGCTGCCTGGCGGTGCTGCGCGCTCTGTCCCCAGATACCAGTCAGCGGCCCGGCCGGCTCACAAAGCTGGGAAAGGTGGGACCGGTGCTCGGTAAGCCCGCCCCGTCTCCTCCACTACCCCCACCCCCGGGCAGAGAGCCGCGCCGCCCGCATGCCGCGGCCTCTGTTAGAGTGGGAGCGCTGCCCCTCGTGCTGTGAGCACCTACACTACGCTGTTCACTAACGAATTGGTGGATTAGTGTAGTAGGTTCGATGCTCGGCCGACAATGGCTGTAGTGGACAATGGCTGAGATAGAGCTGATTCGCGGCAGGTGTTTTATCATGTCATGATTTGGTGTAGTTTAGTGCTAACTAGATCTTGTGACTGCCAGACCTTTGCCCACCTTTGCATCTTGAGGGACAGATGTCCGTTGGATTGCTATAGTTGAATATTGGAAGTCCTGTAACCGCATTTGGTTAACCACATTTTATAATTGGACGTCTCGCACTTGGACTGTGCGATGGGCAATCGGATTATCGGACCACAGTCTCGGTCCATGTTTGGAATTAAATAGAGCAGGTGGCTTTATGGGTGCCACGCGACCGACTTCCGTACAGTGGAGTGGGCCGACCTCTCCTGTACCGGAATCGGGGAGGGGGAGGGGCTCTGTTGACATCGACTCTGCGGACTATGGGACGCGGCTCACTATGAGGGGTTTGCAACGGCTGCGGATGGCCCGTGCTGTGGACGTTTGCAGCGCCAGAAAATGTGCTCTGGTGTGTTGTGTTCGGAACACCCACACTCCCATTTTACTTATACTGTGATACTTTTGTCGCCCATAACCACCACCATAAAGTGTGTTAGTTGCACTGCTTGTGAGTTGTAACCTCTGACTCCGGTGTGTTTCCTGTGTCTACCTGTAGCCGCTGTTTACAAGCTGTGCTTGCTGTAGATGTGCGTGTAAGTGAAAAAGTGTTGTGTGCAACGTGCATGGCTGCTCGGATCTGAAAGCTGCTTGGTGTTCGTGGCTTGCATCTCCTGTGGAGCCATGTAGTCACGTATAACGTGAACTGTGGTATGCTGGGACTACTTTTCGAATGTTGTCTGCCATCTTGGTCTAACATTTATGACCTCCGTGGAAGATAACGCTCAGTTTACACTATGGTAGCAATGAATCCGATAAATTTTGCGTACTATGTAGCCAATATGTTAAATTCCTGAAACATGCCACAGGACATTAGGCTTTGGTTGTTTGGCATCTAGAGAATAGACCCGAGCGAAATGATTGTTTTACGTGCTATCGATTTCTGAATGCCATGCTTTGATTTCATGCCATGTTTTTTTATTTACGTCACGGGTTCTGAGATGTACTCTGTTCACCCTTGCGGTTGCAAACTAAAGAAAGGCCATCGAAATAGCTCTATTATGAATACCCCATCAGCCATAGGCAGTGCCACCATGAATAGATGTTCTGAACCGTGGGATGGCGGCTGTTGAAAGGTCATGCGTGACGCGTTTCTGGTTATTATTACCGTTGATTGCGTAGCGGTGCAATGTGCTGTAATGCTGTCAGCACAAATAGTGTAATCCAGTCCAGTACGTCAAGCGTCTGTGCTCTGTATTCGTATGTGATGTCCTCAATATTTGCCTTGGTTGGTCCGCGTCTGGGCTGTGCATTGTCGTCGGTTCCCTCGGACCGTCTCCAGTAAGCCTGTGTTGCCCGTCAGCGGCCCCGTTTCTGATGTGTGATGTGTACTCTCCGCAGATACGATGGTGTGTACCGGCTGCTGCGCCACACTCGACCACATCGTCACATTCACATTCAAACAGCTCGCGCAAAAAGGTGAGTTGGACGACTCGGCGGCTAGTTCATGGTCTCGGCTGCCGGCGTCGTCGCTGGCGGTAGCTTACAGTTTTATGTGCTGCCAAGCAGCGACGCTAAGAAGGCAGCCGAATTTACAATCAAACGTGGGTCATCTCTAACCTCGTCATATGAAAATGTGTTGGAAGTGATTGGGCAAATATTCTTCATCAGCACGATTCGCACTAATTTTAGGCGTGTCCCTCCGCGGTGATGCTGGTCTCTGAGTGGCGGCTGCCCGTCTGAGCGTTACGGCGGATTTAAATACGGCCTGACGGTAACGCCACGTAACTCGCGTGCTAACGAGCCCGGTCGGCTGAGCAGGAAATGACCGGGCCGCCGCCCTCCATCAATGGGCCGTCGAACGGGCCGCCCGGCGCGCCGCCATTTCCTCTGTGTGCCGATGGCGGCCAGTGAGGGCGCCGTTCATCTGTCCCGCTGACCTGGGCCGTGCCAGTTGCGGGAGGGTTGGGCGTGTCGATTTCCATAGAGCTCTAACTGACGGCCCGCGGCAGCCTCAAATAGCGAGTAATCCTCTGGCTTGATCTCCTGTTCTGTCTAATTACTCAGTCCGAGCCAGGGCCTTTTATTTCACCAGCCCCATATCCGTCTCGTATTTCGCGTCCACTATGTCTCTAACCGTCTCATTCTCCGCGCGTATATTCCTAACTCGCTCCGCGACTCCCCCAGGCAAGAAGAAGCCGGTGCACAACCCTTCCGGGGAGGCGATCCTGCAGATCCTGGAGCGGCAGCCGGAGATCCTGCAGCAGCTGCTGGCCACCGTGCTCAACATCATCATGTACGAGGACTGCCGGAACCAGTGGTCCATGTCGCGGCCACTGCTCGGCCTCATCCTGCTCAACGCCGAGTACTTTGGCGGCCTGCGCGAACAGATGGTGCTCAGCCACCCGCCGGAGCGGCAGCCGGCCATCCGGGCGGCGTTCGACTCACTCATGGACGGCATCGAGAGCAACCTGCTCACCAAGAACCGGGACAGGTGAGACAGCACTCTGCTCACCAAGAACCGGGGCAGGTAAGTTAGAGGGACGGCAACCTGTTCACCAAGAACCGGGACAGGTGAGATAGAGGGACGCCTGCTCACCAAAAACTGAGACAGGTGAGAGGAAGGGTAACCTGCTCACCAAGAACCGGGGCAGGTGAGTTGAGAGGGACAGCAACCTGCTCACCAAGAACCGGGACAGGTGAGAGACAGCACCCTACTCACCAAGAACTGTGCCAGGTGAGATAGAGGGACGCCTGCTCACCAAAAACTGAGACAGGTGAGAGGAACGGTAACCTGCTCACCAAGAATCGGGGCAGGTGAGTTGAGAGGGACAGCAACCTGCTCACCAAGAACTGTGCCAGGTGAGGGACACTTGAGAGGGACGGGGAGGACGGCGCCAAAGGGTGCGGTGAGGCTGGTCAGCTCTGGTTGTGTTGAAGCCATTGTCTTTTGGTCCTGGATAATGCACTCATTGTTGAATCTGTGTTGTTCTTGCATTAGTCGCGTTAGTGACATAGTACCGTGTCCTGACCGCGCTCCCTGTCTGTGTGCTGCAGGTTTACTCAGAACCTGACCACGTTTCGGCGAGACGTGAACGACCCCTCCAAGAACCCGGGCGGCGGCGGCGGCGGCGGGGGCGGCGGTGGTCAGGACGCGGCCATGATGACGTAGCGCCGCCGGTCGTGCTCGGCGGAGGCACGCCGGCGCGCGCCACCCCCTCAGAGGCTGACCATGTCTTTCCAGGCGGAGCGCGCCGCCCGCCCGCCGCTCGCCGCCCGATACCTGTGGCTGCCGCACTAGCGGCGTCCAGAGGCGGGCGCGCGCGTGCTGCATTTGTACCGAGCTCCCGGGCCGGGCCGGGCCGGGCCGCGGGGCAGGCCGGCCGGCCCGTCTGTCGCTGCCCCACTGATGGTGAATTGATCGTCTCAGAGTATAAATACATGTCATGTGTCTTAGAGACTGCGCGTGTTGGCTGGTGCCATTGAGTGACGACTGTTGAGGGACGTGTTGAAGAGTTCATACTTTCAAGCTTAAGCGTTGTTAGTCACTTGTTACATGTTCACAAAAGCATTATAGCACAATGCATAGACTGCTTCGTAATGGGGCTGGTAAAGTCCTTCCCGTAGATCGTCGGGAAGTTAAAATCCTGACCGGAAACCTTACTCTTTTCCGCCAGGGCTCGACAACATCGCGCTCCTTGCGAGGGGATCGAACCCGGATGCCTGGATATAAAGGCAGGAACCTCACCCCTAGACCACACTGTTCCGCTTTTGCTCGCTGAAACGCTCCATCGTCACTGGCCTAGCCCACGACTGTCCTTTTGTTTCCACGGTCACGGCAGCCCACGAAAGAGCCGGTGTGGCGTCATGCGGTTTTATTGAGTACCAAGACAGACCTGTTCATCGGACGGCGGTCGCCGGCAGCGGGCCGATTCAGACAGAGGGGGAGAGGGGGCGGAGCGGGGGAGACAGAGTGCCGGCGGTGGCACGGCGAGAGGGGCAGGGGGGAGGGCGGGGCAGGGAGGAGCAGAGACGGGCTTATTGCACAACAGCGACGAGGATCTAGGTAGATATATCTAGGTAGAAGAGGAAGGGAGGGAGGGCGGGGGAGACACCGACTGTACAGTGGAGAGGGGACCCGGCGGGCGGACGCGCAGCGACCGCCCGGTATTGCTACACACAGAGGAGACCCATTATGCTGGCACGACACTGACATCCTCCGACGTACCCGCTCGCGCACTAACGAGACAAACTCATAAAATGTGGCACCGGTCGCGTTATCAAATATACATGACGCGTTCGTTGTAAGAACCTGGCGCCGGCGTGAGCCGAGCGCGGCGACGCTACAGCTAAACACCGAAGACAAAACGTTTGGAAGCTCGCGATTATTCGACTGGGCGCTGCGCAGCGAACCTGGCTGGGCAGAGGCACACGGCGTGCCGCGGGCGGCCGCCGCGACCGCCGACCGGAATGGCAGACACTGAAAGACAAACTAGGCGACGCCTTCCAGTAAATTTGGCCTGTATGAAAATAAACGAGCATGGAGCGCCTGAGGCCGGGCTGGAATGCATGTTTGTTGTACGGTGGCGGGCGGCGGAGCGCGCCCACTGGCCCATCTGAGGTCGGCTAATCACACACGGCTGCCCACGCGGCTACTGGCACGGCTATCGTTGGCACCTGGCGGCGTCGGCGCGCCGCGGCCCGACACTGTGTATGGAAGCACTATCCGTTGCACCCGTCGGCGCGGCGCGCAGGAAGCGGCAGCAGGCGGCGCCGGGCCAAGGCACCGACCGGCGCAGCGCCGCCGGAACTGAACCGAGAGCGTGGCGACCACCACCTGAGTTATAATAAACGGGCCGCTATTGACACAACAAACACACGCACACATCGCACACACGCACAAATACAATATCTTGGCTGAGTAACGCGACCGAAGCTTGGCACCTCGATGACTAGCAGTTAATGAGTACACCAGCGGTAGCGGCCGGGACGCCCCGGTCGGGGCACCGGCGCCCCGGCGCGCCCGTATGAGTATTTGACCAGGTACTCCTTGCATCAGACCTGATGCATCGCACCATAGCACACGGCAAGTGCACTCGAATAAGACACGGCTCGGCTGCCACGTCAAGCGATTGTCAAATGGCCATGACCTGGCTAATGTCATGGCTAATGTCAAATGGCCACGATATGGCACGGCCTGCCATGGCTAACTGGACTAAAGCTAATCGTCTAAGTCATTTGGCACAGCTGAAGAACTCACAGACTATATGACTATCTACATAAAATGTACACACGCACACGCAGCTAACGACAATACTCGCTATGACACAATAGAACTGACGGTCAAAAAATAATACGCTATGGAGTTTTGGCACAGGTGAGGATTTTATATCTTAGACCTCGGCCATCACAGTCCACTTAGCATTAAGTCAGTAACCAGAGACGCACGAGAAATCCTTATTGCATCGTAACAATTATTATGTCGTTGTAATTTCGATAAAACCACCGCATCTCGACGAGTTGACGCTGTCATTATGGAATAAGCCGCCGGCGCCGGCGGACCTGCCAGCCAGCTGGACGCTGATTGGCTACCACCGGCGGCCGGCTCCTCTCATTGGTCTACTCCCGGTACGGTTTGCAGTAGGCGTACCGGTGGTTGATGTGTTGGCTGTAGGAGCCCGAGTGCGAGAACCTCTTGAGGCACTTTTTGCACTGATAGGGCTTCTCGCCGCTGTGCAGCCGCTTGTGCTCGGACAGATGGTGCTTGTGCTTGAACGCCTTAGGGCAGTCCTCGCATTTGTACGGCCTCATACCTGCAGGAGCGGGAACCAGCTGGTCAGAAAACAAACATTCTGCTGAAACGTTTGCTCGATTTGTCTCAGCTCAGCTACGTCGAACAGATGCTGCATTTAACCTAGTGACATATCATCAACCTTAACCTTCCAGGCGGTGGGGGGGGGGGATTTTTTTGCCCCCCCCTTTAGTTTTTTCAATATATCTCGAGAACCGCTGCGCCAATCGTCACCAAACTTTCAGTACCTTCCCGGGAGCAGCTAGCGCACATGGTGACCAAAAATTTTTCCAAAGGCTATGATAGGTTGGCCGCTAATGACGTCAGAGTGACGTCATTTTTGCCATTTTCGACCCAAAAAAAGGTTTCGCGGGAAGAGCTGTCAGGCCTACAGCTTTAGAGATACAGAAAAATGTTTCAAACATAAAAGGTGTGGTATTGGGGGGCTACAAAACTGCTATTTCAGTTTTTCGAATTTTTTTGATTTTGACCCCCAAAAATAAAAAAATAGATTTTTTGAATATAATAGCCTAACAATCCAAAAAGTTTTTTGAATTTCGAAAAAAACGGAATATATGTGATAGCCCCTACCGCCTTCTATCTACATACCAAATTTGAGATCGATACCTCTTTTTTTGGCCAAGTTATAGCGAAAAAACTGTTCAAAATTGATGACGTCAAATTTTCAAACTCAATTTTTAGCAATTCTAGACCTTGTAGCGCAAAACAAAGACCACCATTAGACTCCCCGTGGCAAGCTGCATCGAATCGATACCCATTTTATGCAAAAATATCAGCTTTGAAATTTGACCTTTTTTGACCTGACCTTGACCTGACCTCCACCAGAAAGTGACCTAAACCGTACCTGATGGTCTTATAACCAACACCATTGAGTTGGAAATGAAAAACTGGCCATAAAACATGCATCGCATAACTTTAGTAAAGTTGGGCTCATGTGGTGACCCTTGGTGACCTTTGGTGACCTGACCTGTGACCTGACCTGGTATGACCAGTGACCTCTAATAGCAACATATGTACTAGACAACTGACGCCTTATCGCTGATTTTCGACAAAATGCGTTTTACTCGGTGTTATAGCGCTTTCCCTAGAAGCCCCGTGAACGGTGAAACATTTTATCTTTGACCTGACCTGTGACGTCATCGGTGACCCCGAGGTCAATGAAATTTGGTTCCCTTCGACAAATTTGACAGGGCTATCGAACGCCGTTTGAATTTTCCGGATCCGTCCAGTAGTTTCGGAGATACGTGGGGGGCAAAAAAGTGCCCCCCCCCACCGCGCGGAAGGTGGCTGGTAGGCCCACCGCCTGCCGGGTTAACCATCCATCAGCCAGGCCTTTAAGGCCTGGCTACACTATGCGTTTTCTTCGTGCGTTTTTTGCGTGTTTGCGTGTTTTGCGTGATATCTTTCTAGAAAAAAGAACGATATTACGTTTTTGTGATGTTTTTCACCTTAAATTTTAGTTACATAAGAGTTATATTAGCTTTTGTATATAACCAAAGTAAAAATTATATTGTTTATAACTTTTTTCCTAGAACGATATTACGCAAAACACGCAAACCTGCAAAAACGCACGCAGAAAACGCATAGTGTAGCCAGGCCTTAATCCGAAGGCTTGTCCAGCGTTAAACTATCCTTTTAATCTGAACGAGATGCCTCGAATGTCCCAGCGCACTCTAACTCACCGGAATGTTCGTATTTGTGCCTGGCCAGCGAGCTCTGCTTGTTGAAGGCCTTGTCGCACTGGTCGCACTGGTAGAGGTCCTCGCCGGGCCGGGCCAGGCGGCGCTTCTTGCCCGTCTCGCTGGACGAGTCGTCCCCGGAGCCGCTTAGCTCCGACTGCTGCTGCCGGGCGCAGACACAACTGAGTCAGTGACGAGGACAAGATTTAAGTCAACAATCCGATGTAAAGCGATCTAATGGGAACAGACGCTCGTACCTCTCATTTACGTCGACTTGGCCGTTGTAGCCCAAGCCTGAAAAGTCAAAACTAATGGAAAAGTTAACGTTTATGGTGAAGATGGATAAAAAAGGGTGATATTGCTCGGAATTAGACACTTACCTGGCGTTTTCTGTTCTCGGCCAGCATCTCGCGTTCGGCGGCCCGCAGCAGCTGCTGCACCGCTGACGTCATCGGTCCGCCTTCTGACGTCACTGGCGGCGGCGGCGGTGTGCCGTCGGCCGTCAGGGAGTGTGCCGCGGGCGAGTGCGGCGAGCACGAGCCGTCCCTCAGCGGCAGGCTGGGGACAGCCGGGGACTGTCGGTACGACGGCCGCTCGCCAGGGACCGCCACCGTCGCCGGAGTCGAGGCGCGCGACGAGGGTTCGCTGGCCGGCGGCGGCGAGGCGCTGCCGGCCGTGCTGCGTTTGGTGGACAGGTCCAGCGGCTGCTCGCAGTCCTCGGGAGGGGTGGGCGGCGCCAGCAGCTGCGGCAGCGCCGAGTAGAACATGGGCACGGCCGAGTAGACGGGCAGCGGTGGCCGCTCCACGGCGGCGGCCGGCCGCACCAGGCCCGGCGGAAAGCACGGCAGCGCGAACGGCTTGCCCTCGCGCTTGTCCCGGGCGCGGGTGTTCTGGAACCAGACGCGCACCACCTCCGGCGAGATGGACAGACGCTCCGAGATCCGGTTGACGTCCTCACGGCGCGGCTTG